TTGGATTGTGCGGATGTCCATTTGAATTTACGTCGGTCATTTTTATTAAGATTTGTTACGGCGTGTATTGGTGCGGCTATAGTGGCAAAGTTTGGAATAAACTTTCTGTACCAGCTTAAAGCACCAATAAATTTATTTGCACGAGCTAATGTGTGTGGTTCTTTAATATCAAGAATTGCTTGTATTTTATCATTCGTTGGAGTAATAATCTTCTCGCTGATTGTGTGTCCGAGATAATTAATTTTTGACACCATAAGTTCGCATTTTGGAGGATTAAGGACGAAATGGTTTGTTTGTAAAGCTGTAAATACTTGTTCAAGATGACTAATATGTTCTTCATGCGACTTTGAAAAAACGATAATGTCATCAAGATATACAAGACAAAATTGGCGGCAGGACTGTAATGTATTATTCATTACTTTTTGAAAGGTCGGTGGTGAATTTATAAGTCCCATAGGTAGAACATTAAATTGATAAAGACCAAATGGTGTAACAAATGCGGTTTTTTCCTTATCAGTTTCATTGATTGGAATTTGATAAAAACCGGATTTGAAATCTAATTTACTGAAGTATTTATATCCTTGTCCTAATTTTCGAAGTGTCTCTTCCATATTTGGTAATGGAGAAGAATCTTTAATTGTAATTAAATTTAATTTTTTATAATCCACTACGAAACGGTATTGTCCATCTTTTTTCTTGACTAAAATAGCAGGTGCAGCATATGGAGAATGAGATTCTGTAATCAATCCTGCTTGTAAAAATTCTTGAATAAGTGAATACATTGCTTCTTCTTTATCTGGTTGTGGATATGGTTTACAAGCTGGTGGTACATGTGGAATTGTTTTTATTACATGATGAATCGATGTATTGGCAATGCTATGTTTAGTTGTGTCGAAAATTTGATGAAAGCGAAATAAGAGCGAGAGAAGAATATCCTGTTGTTGTTGATGTTGAATTTTATTAACTAATTCACGAATATCTTTATCAACGATTGGATGAATTGAATGAATCGTGTTACAAATATTTTGATTGGTAATGGATTTGTTGAAATGTTTAGTATTAGTCATAAGGGTTGTGTATGGACGTGTTGAAGTATGATCACTTGAGTGATCTACGGCTGAGTCAAAAACGTCGGGTATCTCGCCAAAATATTTGACGGCCCCCTTTGACCTAGTCGTAGGAATGGAAATGTGGTGTGTGTGCGGTTTGACGATGGAAGAACATAAGTATCCAATGCGAGTACCTTTATTAATAAATTTTGGATATGGTGATGTATTTAATAACGTCATAGTATATAAGTGATCATTAAGTTGAAGCGGTTTGTGTAAAACGCTTAATGAATCATGTTGTATAAAGCTTAAATTAGGAATAAACGTTGAATTAATCGACGAAATAGGAGTATGTACTTTAATGGTACGATACGTGTTTGATGGGAGACGTAAAGATTTGGATAAGGTTACCGGAGTAAATTGAGGTGAATGATTCTGATTTGTTTTCATATAATATCGATGATTATTAATTTCAATAGAAATTAGTTGATGTTTTGTATCGATTTGTAAATTATAAAGTGTTATGTAATCCATCCCAAGGATTATGTCAGTACATAAACTTTGAGCAATTTTAGCTTGGATTTTGGTGATTTGATTAGCAAATCGGATCGACAGATCGATAGTTCCTAATACATAGAATGGTGATAAGCCATCAGCAAGAACAAATGAGTGGGGTTGCTTTTTGACGAAATTATGATGTTGTACCTTTTGTAAGGCCTTGCTACTAATAAAGGTTGAAGTAGCTCCGGTATCGATGAGAAGTTGCAGAGTTTGACCATTGACTGATGTGGTGATGAAGATTAATGAGGGTTTTGATGGATTTTTTTGCATTTTACCGGAGGCAACACCATCTTTCGGTGTCTCCGGTTTTAGAAATTTGGACAGGAAGTAGTGTGATGTCCGAATTGATTGCATCGAGTACAACAGTTTGTTGTTTCGGACGTTTGTTGTGAATTAAGTTGTGGAATATTATCAGGTGGAATTAAATTGTTAATAGTATTTTGACGTGGTTTATCGCGAGGAAATACTCTCGGATACCGTGGAGTGTAAGATTGGTTATTATAAGTATTTGATGATCTTTGTTGATTCGAACGAAATTGTTGTGGAGCATAATTTTGTTGTGATTGCATTGGAAATAATGGTTTAGATGATGAGAATGCTGGATTTCGTAGTCGAAATGATGAATTTGAAAATGGTGATGAATTTGATGTATGAAAATTGTTTGTATGATTATTATTATAATAATTATAATCAGAACGTTCCCAACGTTGAGGTTTTGGAACGAAGAAAGAGGAATTGTTATAATGATTAGACGTTGGTGTGATGACGGTTGATGATGTAGTAGGTATGGAGACGGTATTAGTATAGGTATTATTATTAATGCTAATATTTGAAAGTTGATAAAGTTCTTCAATTTCTTTAGCATGCTCGAGGAATTCTTTTGTTGTTGTTGGTTTTTTCCTTCGAACTTCGAATTGTATAGTTGGTTTTGTTTTATTGAGAAGATTTTTCAATTTAGTAGATTCACTCATAGTTGAATCAGCTTCGTTACAGAGTTTTAGAATTTCATTATAAAAATTGCAAATCGATTGATTTTCTCCTTGAGTATAGGATTCCAATTTTTTAAATGCTAATTCTTCATGATAAGATGATGTAAATGCTTTTTTTAATTCATATACGAATACTTTCCAAGATGTTAATGTATTTTTATTATTTTTGTACCATCGGAGTGCTTCACCTCGAAGTGAATACGATATTAAATCTAATTTATTTGCATCGGGAATATGTGCGGTATCAAATAAATGTTGTAGATCTTCCAACCATTTTGTAACATCATCCTTCCCACCTTGAAATGTTTTTGGATTCTTTATTAAATTTTGCAGTAGAATTTTTCGAAGTACGTTTGTTGTATCATCAAAGTTTGTAGTGCTATGATTGATAGTATCATCGTTATTAACTACTGTTGATTGAGAGGCTGGTATCTCGCCACTCGAAGCGGCGGCAACGGATTCAAGCAATGCAGTCGAATGATGTTTCGGTGGTTTTTCTGAAAAATGTGTATTATCAAATGTCGTCATAGGTTGTAAATTTTTGTCTTCGGATGATTTTGTTTGAGAGGATAGATCAGATTGTGATGTAATATTTTGTTGTTGATTATTATATGTTGGTTGAACGTCATTTTTATCAAAGTGTGATAATAAAATTTCATAAAAATCATCGAACGATTGGATATCTCGTCGATTCTTTATGTAAATCTTTTGTGGGAGACCTCGAACTAATAATGGAATTGCGGTGAAACGTAAATTCCGTGGTATTAATAATCGATCAAATCTTTTCTGGGTATCATGTAACCATAAGTTAACATCTTGTTCACCAGAAAATGGAGTGAAATTTTGTAAAATAAACGAATCGAAACTGTTTTCATCGTCAATCACTTCTTTGTTAATAAGATTTTCATTCTTTTCTATCGGTAATACATCATTGTTATCATAATTGTTGTTTGTTTGATTTATTGAAGTAGTATTAGTACTGAGTTGAGATTGTTTTTCTGTTTCTTCTAATGAATAATTTTTACTTAATGAATTATCAGATTCATTATCCATTTCGAATATATTGTATGATTTCGTGGGTAAATGAGATAATGGAATAATTGATTTTCTACGATTTTTGTTTAACGGGTTCAATAAATTAGAATCTTGTTTATTTTTCAAAGTAGATGTTAATTGATATGAAGTGTTTTGTGTATTTATCGGTTTATATGATGAATTATTTAAATGAGAAATATGATCATCATTATTCATTTAAAGATGATCCATGAATATATGTAGAAAAATGGTTGAGTGAGAGAAAAAAAAAATGAGTTTGAAAAAGGTGATGAATGGAAAAAAATATGGGAATGAAAAAAAATGTTATGAGTGAAAAGGTTCAAATATGAACAATAAAGAAAAAAGAAACGGGCTTATGCAGACAAAAATATGCCCAACTTCTCCACCAATTGTAAGCTTCTCGTTATGGTATGTCTTAGACTCTTGCCCCACTCTATGGTTTAGGCCAGAAGACAGTTATAATTAGATCCCGGTCTGCAACGGGAACGAGA